ACTCTGTGATCAAGGTTGGCACGGGTGTGCCGGGTGCCGCCATCACAAATTGGAGGGTCAGCTGAGCAACTAGCCGCAACTAGCCTACTAAGGCACTAAGGGCCTACTAAGTGCTAAGTACTGTACAATTTGGAAAGCTCAGTTACAGCCACAGCAGCGCCGGGTGCGCCATCCAACAATATATATATATATATATGTATATATGTACATATATATATATATGTATTTAATGTATACGTATATGTATATGTATATTCATATATATATATATATAGTGGAAACGACGTGACGAGTCTGTTGCAGCAGGGGCCTTCGCAAGAATCCAATGATACGTGGCCAAACACTTCCGGCTCCTTAACAACTACCTCTAACCACCTAGCAGCAAAGCAGAAAACTCAGAAGCTGTGACTGTAGTAATTTTGGCACTAGTCACTAGTCTAGTTACTAGTCACTAGTCAACAGCCTCTGACTCAATAGAGGCACTACAGTCACTAGAGTCACTAGACTCTAGACTCTAGACTCACTTCCGTAGACTCTGGTCACTAGACTCACTAAACTAAACACTAGACTAGACACTTGAGTAGAGTTCACTAGAGGTTGGGAGCCTAAGTCCAAGTCACATAGGAAGGAAACAAACCCAAGGCCCAGGGCTGAAAAAATCATTCAACAGCAGCAGTCCATGTGTGTATATTTACACACACTGCATAAGCATGTATATATGTATGTATGTATATAAATACATTATTATCATTAGAACATATATTGGGGTCTCTGGATCCCATACGTCCGTACACAAATCGCAAAGAAGACAATATCATGAAGGACATTTCCAATCCAGCGGGCCTCCACGTGGCGCTTGAAAATTCTCACCTCCTCGCACGTGTACACGTCTTTGCGGAAGAAGCAGATGAATATCCTGCGCAATGCGGGCTTCTGTGGCGAACGGCTGCACTGCACACTACTAAGGCTACTACTGTTACTACTGACTGTTGGGACTGTTATGATTTTGGGACTGTGTAGGACCGTGTAGGAACTGCTGTTGCTACTAGAAATTCTGGAGTTGAGTCGGAAGACGCAGGAATTGCATCTCATCGCAGTCCGCACTCTTTCACGGGGCATCTCTGTCCGACAATGTCTCTGCAAGCGTGAATGGCATGGGCCATTCGACGATCCCTCGGCAACACAGCCCTGTCATGCAGGACTCCAGGACTCTAGGAACGATGCTGGAAACAAAGGAAGTCTGGAATCGCTTGATTCCGCTTGATGCTGAAACTGGTGCCTGTGCACTCTACAGACACTAGAATAGTCACTAGAATCACTAGAGTCACTAGAATCTAGAATAGGACCTGAATAGGACTACTAAGGCACTAAGGCAGAGTCCTGGGTTCTGCTGGCTCCTCTGGGCCACGAGCACGCTCTAGCTCTAAAATCACATTTGATCCTGCAAGGCCTTCGAACCAGGCACGCGCCTCAGAACGAGCCGCATGCGTCTCTGTGCCCATAGCCACATGCTCTGCCTGGTTGCTCGCTTGGTTTGCAGCCCTCAACCACGTGATGAGGGATCCCACTGGGCGTCCTGCCCCTGCACGGCCTGGAGTCGTCTGACGCTGGCGTCTGCAGGAGTGTCCATGGCCCGGACACTTGCAATGGGCGCGCAAAAAGCCTCTTGCATTGAAGCGGATCTCAGCGTCGAGACCGAACTCCGCCATGTCAAAGACTAGCTCCGCTTGCCGCTCTGCTCGCCGACCTGCTTGCTCGGGTCTTCGATGAACCTCTTCACGCCGAGGACGTTTCCCAGGACGTGCGCCATCATCAATCTCCGGCTCGGGCTGCTCTTCTCGGCCGTCACGTTCGCCTCCGTCTTCGGCAGCAGCAGCAGCACACGGCATCTCCGGCTGGGGCGGCAGGCCTTCTTGGCGGTCGCCTCCATCGTCAGCAGCTGCCTGAGCAGCCACGAGCCCATCCAACGCTCGCCAGAGCTCGTCCTCGTCATCATCCAATCCAGGGTCCTCAGCAAGCAAATCCGACTGTGCAGCAGCGTCTGCAAAGGCACAAAGCTCATCGAGATTTAGCTGCTCAGCCATGTCTTCTTTGTCAGACTCGTCGTCGTCGTCGCCATCCTGCGCCGCTTCTTCGTCTAGCAACATGTCTTCTTCTTCCTCCTCGTCGTCCTTGTCCGGTGGAGGCTGGTTTGCATCATCATGGGCCACATTGGCACCAGCTGCTCCCTGTCCTTGTCTCCCTGGCCAAAACTGAACTGGCGGCTGCAGACTTTCCACGTCCACATACATCGGCATGATCCTGTCAACAGCAACTGGTTTGGCGTCTGAACAAATCTTCATGAAGTGAGCTGTGCATGGTCGTTCCACGTCCACGTAGGTCACCAGGAAATGCAACAAGCTTTTGATCTCCAAGACGTCATTTGCAGCACCGCCACACACAGTGACACGAAGGGTGAGGCACGTATCCTCCCTTGCGTCTTCCTCCAGCCGCAAGCACACAAATTCCCATGTTCGCAGATTAGATGCACCAAGGTGCAAAAACAGCTCTGTGGATTCCTCGGCCGCGCCTGCACTGCACAGGTAGAGAACCACACGCCAGTCCTCTAGCAGGCGACGTTGAGGCGTCGCCACCTTGTTCACTTTCGTGAAGAACTTTTTCATGGCTCGGATCAGAGCCTTGTTCATCTTCTCATGCTCTGCTCGGTTGCACACACAGAAGCCCAATCGCAAGCACGGTTGCTCATCAAACAATTTGGTCTTATCCACCTCGATGCGTTGCTGCTGCTCGTGCTGCACAATGCTGTGGTCTTGGTGCCAGCGCTCCTCGAATGCAGGCAGAGCGACACCCGCTTCCAGCCCAGCATTCGCAAGCACATCCTGCCGCATTCAAGGTTAAGTCAGTGAACCGCTGAGTAAACTTAAGTAGTACTTATTGCTTATTTTTATTAGTAAGTATACTATAGGGTGGGTGGGATACAACCCTAAACCTAAACCCTAACGCCTAACGACGACCATTCCAATCAGAATGCACTGCACGATGACATTTCCCATGAAAAGACCCACCACCGCATCTAAAATCTAGAGTCGAGTTGAGACAGCGTCCTCGGCCAGCGGAAGAACAGGCATGCGCCAGCAGTACCGCCGCAAGTGGGAACCCGGCGGCATTGGCAGCTCCATTGCACCATCCAGGATGCCTTCTCCACCGTCCCGAACCATCGCATTAGCCAGGCCTGCATCGCTTTCGACCAAATCGAAACCAGGCCGAAGTGGTACCTTCTTGCTAGCTGCCTGTTCCCTGGCTGCACGGGCGTCGGCGTTCACTTTGTCGCAGAAGGCTAGCAATCTCCCCTCGAAGTCGGACGCAGGCATCTGGGTTACCAAACAGTCTGTCTGCAGAACCTCCGCGACGGTCAAGTTTCCCAGACTCGTACGCGGCGCCGTGACTTGCAACTGCTCGTCAGCTGCATACCGCTTAACCAAAGTCAAGCGCACTGCTTCCTCCCGCCAAGCCTCCTTTTCATCCAGAGTCAGCTGCTGGTACTCTTGACCAAGAGCTCGAAGAGTTGACCTTTTGAAGGGCTGGCCGCGCAGCTTCACAGACAGAAAGGCAGCCCAAGCACTGATGGCTCGGCGTCGTTTGGTCACCTGGACATGAACCACACTGCTTGTTCTAGCTGCCAGCTACTAGCTAGCAGCTACTAAGTTAGATGCTTGCATGCCTCCCATCCAATTCTATTGTATGTAGCTGTCTCCCCTCTTCGAATCTAGATTCTAGATCGACCTGACTGGTTCCACTTCTGGGTTCTGGTCTAGCCTAGGCCTAGCTGCTTGCTAGCTGCTGGTCGGATAACAGAAATCATTCCTAGTCCTACAATCTACAACTCCTGTACTGACTGGATGACTAGACTGACTGGACTAGACTGGACTAGACCTCAACTCAACTTCCCTTCCCGTTCCCGCCAACCAAGAACCAAACCCACCCGAAACACTTCACTACACTACTCTACGACTGTAGGACTCACTGTACTCTACTCCTCCCGTGGGCCTTAGCCACCTGGTTCGTCTCTTCTGCAATCTTCACATGGTGTTTGTTGATCCATCTGCAAAGGCTCTTGGCACTCACCTCTGACAGTGTCGGCACGTATCCTCTGCCCCTCTGCATTGTAAACTCGCGGACAGATGCATGTCCTGCTTCAACCTGTGCCACATCTGTGTCTGCCAGGAGACACAGTGTTTCCAAAACTGCACGAGCCTGCTGCGATGACATAGCTTTGGGAGTCGAGTACTTCTGGAGAAACTTGTGTGAGAACTCGTCCCGCATGCAGTGTGGGCGGTCGATCAATTCCTGCTTGTCGGCGTTCGATGTGCTGTCATCCACGGCCCGAAACAAGGCGTACGGGAATCCTCGGTGAGCTCTACCAAGGTAAAGGTCAAGGTTGCACAGGGCCGCAGACAGGCCGGCAAAAAGCAGTGCACGGGCCCGTCTTGTGTGACAACATACTGGTAATCCGGCAGGGATTTCGGCAAACACAGCTTGGATGTCGTGTACCACTCGATCCACAAGGCTGCAGCGGGCCGATTCCAGCAGCCTGAAACTGCGAGGCTCGCCACGCTGGGCTTGACGTTGCTGCTCAAGTTCCCACTCCTCCCCAGACAGTTTCAAGAGTCGAGCCATAAGCAGTCGTGTTGGCTCCGCCACGTGCCTGGCACAAACGAGTTTCCTCGGCATGGCGACTCAAGCTTGCACATTAGAAAACAACGCAAACCACAAAGACAAAGCAACAAAATATGTACTGAATGTACTGTATGTAGAGTCTAGAGTCTAAGTCCTATATGTTACTAGTTTCTAGGTCCAGTCCAGGCCGTATCCAGGTTCGCATCGTTCATGCATCCTCAAAATGCGTCCTGATACACGGAAAAAATAACAACAGTCCTAGGACAATATTGAATGCCTCAAACAAGGTACCTGAACCCCAAAGAACAACAACCGTCACTGTACTATGCAGTCTGGTCTGAGGTAATTACTTTTGATATAGTAACAGTAAGAGAGCAAAGAAACCAAAGTGATAGATAGCTGCCAGCTGCTGCTGCCAGCTTCTGTGATTGTATCTGGAAAGCTGCAATCTGGATCTCTTGGTGTCTTTGACAATTCTGACATTCACAAATCACAAACTGCAAACTCACAAGCACCCTTCTGCCAAGATTCTCCATGAGAGATGCACGACATGAGAAAACACCAGCTTTCCTCTTGCGTCGCAGCTGCAGCTCGTGCCAATCGATTTCACCGTCTGGCAGCATAGGTGCTGCCGCTTCATCGTGATCCCCAGTCTCACCCTCACCCACACCGGAGCCCTGTGCCAGAATGCCGTCGATCAATTCCAAGACATCCGTGCCGGCAGCACCCAAGGCTTCGGCGGCTTCGCCCTGGCCAAAATCTTCCGCCTCGTCTTCCTCATGCCCCACAGAGACACGTGCCACTGGAGCGACGCTCGCCGATCCCGTGAATTTCACCATGACCTTTGTGAAAAGGCCCCAGAACGATTGTAGCAGCCCCGTCCACTCCATCGGCTGCTCTGCATCAGTCCAGCTCTTGCGTTTGAGCATGGGGCACTTTCGCGGCAGGAACGCAAGCACCACCGATGAAGCGAATCGATCTGCCGTTTCCTGCCTGCTGCGACAGCAAGAGAAACTGCAGTGGTGCACTATGCGGTCTTGGGTGATGTCACTGTTGCAGTAATACTGTAGCACGAACTGTCGCCGCATGTTCTTCAGAGGTGACGAAGCTCCAGGGTGCACGGGGCAAAAAAGATCAAGTATTTGTCTTGTGTGATTTCGAATGGATCCCCCAGGTGCCGGAGAATTTTCCACGATAAGCTCGTTCTCGAAAACATCCTGCAACACTTGCCTCAGCACTGCCAGCGATCCACCGCCTTCCATGCTCAGTCCGGTGTGCACCAAGCCCGATGTCACCTCTTCGAAGGGTCGGAGGCTTTTTTTGATCACAGCCGATGCCTTATGCACGTCACAAGGAAAAATCGTGCGCGTCATCTCAGGTTGCGAAGACTTGAAATAGTCTTCGGCTTTCAAGTTGGCTGCGTATCGGTCGACACAGGCCAGACGTACCTGCTCGGGGTAGAGCGACAGGTGCTGATGGAGATTTGGAACACATGCCATAGCAGACCGAATTGCGGCGGCTTGTGTTTCTGCTGTTGTCCGTTCCAGGGGAACCATAGCCACCGGAATGTCCACTGTGATGAGTCTGTGGCCAAGTGAGGCAAGATCATAGATCAGCAAGCCTGCGATCCAGCATGATTTCATTAGTTTGCCCTATGGCCCTATGAAGCACAAGGATAATAATACCTACGCTTAGACTTAGACTTAGACACACACTTGTAGAATCAGAAGTCAGGAGAGCGCCAAGGAACCCAGGGTCCAGTCGATTCGAAGTATTTTGACGTACTTGTAGGACTCTGATAAGTGTCCACCACGCTGCACAAAATCAGGAATGAACTGTTGCAGCTCAACAAGCCTCATGCGCAGCGGAGTCTCGTCGTACCGGAATTTGCTCACAGCCATGACTGGCATCATTCTCGGGCGCTGAAACCATCTAGAACACATTCCCAGCATGGCTCCTACCAACCAGCACCCACCATGCAGCAGAACTGCTGCGAGCTGAAAAAGGGTTCGCTGCAGCGAGCGACGTGAAGTCCCTGATTGATCTTGTATCACTGAAATAGATCGGTGCCTTCCAGAACGAATCAAGCAATCAGTCACCGCTACCACGGCTTTCCGCAGTACTGGCCTCTCGCTTCCAGCACTTGTAGCAGCACAGTAGCGCTTGAACATCTGCTGCTGAAAGCTGTCCCCTAGCTGAGACAATCCAGCTCGTGGGCCAAAGATGTCACGTAGATCACTATTCACAGCTGGTTGAAAAGACTCTTCAGAAACTGAAGGTAGCAAATCGTCCACCAGGCCAAGTAACTCATCTTCTTCTAACCAGTTTGGGTTTGGCTGTGCAGGCACCAGTTGTGCAGCCACATCAGATGGCTGGCTGTCACGGCTGTCAGCTTCATCCTCGTGCGAAGCGCCCGCATCGAGCAGGCCATCGATTAGGGAATTCAGATCCAAGTCCAAGTCAGCAAGACCATCATCAGCCATGCCACTGACTGGGGGTTGAGGCTCTGCGAGACTCACAGACTCTAAGACGGGCTTTCTGAGGTTTAAGATTTCAGGACTAAGACACTAAGAGTCACGAAGAGATTTATCTTCAGGCTGTGGAGTCCAGGTAGGGCGGGAAAGGGTTGCAAAAAGCCAATGCATCAGCACCCTAAGGGCAACTCGATAGTCCGATAGCGGCTCAGCTGACTAGCGACGGCTCGGCTGCTGCTACCTGCTACCTGCTACTTGACCTGGCCATCCAAATTGTGCTGCTGGGAAGTAGCACATGGTCAAAGCAACAAACAGCTAGCAGCTAGCTAGATTAGATAGATTGCTGCAGCCTGGATAGCTGCATGGCATAGCTCAGATAGACAGATAGATAGATATTGTTAATGTAGTCTGTTTAAAGTTTAAAGTCTAAACCTTAGGTCCCCTGCCCCACGCCGACCCGGTTCTTCATACCCAGCGAACCCAGCTACAACAACCCTTGGCCCTTGACACTGTCTTCTCAAGTCCAAACTGCAGCAAGCAGTACCAGGTCGATTGGGAAGGGGGTCCGGCGGTTGCGGCTGTTCAGGTACATTACATCGACTACTTAGACTACTGAGTCCTGGGACTATTAAGTGACTACTACTTCACTTCTGAGGCGGGGCAGTGGCAGCTGGCTTTATGCTGCTGCTAAACCTACCTATCCGATCTAGCTGCTAGCTACAGCTACAGCTACCGGCTACCGGGCTACCGTTGCTACTGTCACTACGCTGCTACTGACTGGTTGCTGGTGCTGGTATGCCCTATATCGAATCTTCCGAACCATGCCCTGCACTAGTGACTAGTGACGGTCCTTGGGCGGCTGATCTGGATCCAATCAGTTGAATCCAGATACAGCTTGGCAACCCAATATCCACCGTGTTTCCAGGTCTGGGCTGCCATGATCTGGAGGAACCTGAAGAGCAAGGACGGTTTGGGCCGGCTTGGGGACATGCGCTTCATCGTGGGTCGAGGGGTGTCACTGCATCACTAGCCGCTAGCCGCTAGCCGTCACTAGCCACTAGCTGCGGGAGAAAACAGCACTTCAAATCTGACTAGTTCAGTTAGCTAGTTGGCTGGTTAGTTGACAGCAAGTGAAGCAAGGGGCTTGGTGGCCGGGGTTGTCACATCTGCTTGGCTGGTCTGCATGTCGAAGCCACGGACTTGCTCCATGATAGCTGCACGAGGTTCCCACTTTAGATAGAGCCCAACAACACCAGACATGGTGGTCTCTGTCATGCGGTGATGTTGCACTGACTGGTCCCGAAACCGTTTTGCTCGTTGCTTAGAGAAGGGATTGCAGGGGCTGCCAGTGAGAGCCAAACTGATGCCTCCTGCAGAATCTACTCGGCAACGCTCGCAATCTGGGTGCTTGGTACATGTCTTCTCCTCTAGCATATCCTCCAGGGTCTCATACAAGTGCTGCAGCCGGGACCCATGATTGGCCTGAATCACCCTCCTGTACTCTGGCTGCTTCTCTGCGGCAGCCAATGCTGTGAAAGGGATACCCAATGCCTGCAGGAACATTGGTTCATTCTCGGGTGAGTTCGAAGTATGACATGGGAGTGATGTTGCTTGGCATATCAGACATATCGGCAAATCACGGACAATGGGCAATCACTGTGACCGCGAGCTGCGAGCTGCGATCCGGTGGTAGCCGGTAGCCGACAGAATCTGAGATTCACTATACACATGCCCTTCCGCACACACACACACACATTCTCTCTCTCTCTCTCTCTCTCTCTCTCTCACACGTGCAAATACGGGCAAAGCGGCAAAACACACACTGACTTAAGCACACACACACACACACCACCGAGACAAAGAGACAGAGAGACAGAGAAAGAGAGAGAGAGAGAGAGAGAGAGAGAAAGAAAGAGAGAGAATATGAATATACATTTACATAGACAGACTCTCACCCGCTCGTCACAGATTTGACTAGCTATCCTCCACCCGGTGGCTTACACAGCAGCTTCACGAACAGCTTCCAAGCATGTTGCCGCATGTTGCCCACGCGCCTTCAGGACTTCTGCTTCAGCGAAGCAGCCCGTGCAGGCAGAGGGCACAGTGCGGGGCCGCTTCACGGCAGGCAGTTCTGCTGCATCACATCGCACAAAGTCCTGTGAATGTGCCTTGATTTTGTTCGCCCACCAACAACTTGTTCTCACAGGTAGTGATGGATCTGAAGACTGGCTCGCTTCTTGGCTGGACGACTGGGACTTGGAGGATTCCGAGTCATCACCAGCTGAACTTGTGAAAGCCCTGGCATTCTCGGCAGCTTGCAAGTCCTCTGCTTCTTGTTGGGAGGCCTCTAGCAAACCTTCTACCGTCTGCTCTGCTGTGTTGCTTCGCCTGAGGAGTTCCCCGACTAGCTGGGACACAAACTCATCCTCTGTAGCAGCTGTAGCATCATCAGCAGCAGTCTCAGGCATGGCTGTCATGGGCCAGCTACCGGGTGCCTGCTGCTGCTGCAGCTGGTGCTACCAGCTACCATGAAGCGATGATGCCAAAAAAATCTGTTCATGGCTTCGATTCTACTCATGATGTTCTTAATACTGCTCGCCAAGCTCAGCCAAACCCTGTGCGACGGTCGACCATACCGACTTTCACAAGAATCCACCTGCACTACTAGGGCGCTGGAGAATAGGCATCCCTAGATAAGAATATGCATTTCTGAATATGCATTTGAAGGAGGATGCATTTCAGAATATGCATTTCTGAATGTACATTTCAGGGAAGATGCATTTCTAAATATGCATTTTCGGGAATATGCATTTGCAAATATTGGAAAAGTATGCATTTGGCAGTCTGGCCGGGGGCAGGTGTCCTTATGCACAAAGCCCTTCATAATGCTACTGTCATGGACATGAATCGCCTGAGTCAACTCAGATGAATCTGCTGGAGGCACACCAGAACATGTCCTCTGCCTCTTCTTAAAGAGAGATCTTTCGGGCAGCTTCATGCCAGGCCAACCAGGGTCGGGGCCCCCTGGCCCGACATCGTGCGACTCCACTACCTGGAAAAGGCTAAGACATTTGCGACTCGACAGATGACACCTTCTACATGCAAAATAGAACAAGTATTGAAAGGATTCAGAATGCTTGCAGTCGGAATACAGGAAACGGCTCGATTGCATCAGACTCCAGAAGAACCAGAACTTCGTTGGCCATTTGACCGAACAACTTCTTCTGGGGCACTGCTTTCTCGTCCATGAGATAATTATAAATTGCCACGATGGCGAAACCCAGAGACTTGGGATAAGCAGCCGATTCTGAAAGCACATCAGGAACACCTCGAGCCCGCCTGAAAGATCACTTTATTCCACACAGGATACAACAACTGGCGGAAAATGCATCAGAAACAGTGAGAACAGATGGCATGGAAATCATCCAGTATGCTACATATCACATAAACAAAAAAGAGATAAAGCAATAGACTATGACGGCGAACTTCAGCAAACCGAAATCCGACCTTCCTTTCTTCACCGCAAGCTTTCTGACAACAAGATGTGAAGTCAGTGGCATCAAGGTTTTGCAAAGCTTCGTGATGAGAGGAGCACCTCTCCAGGTACCCTTAAAATGCAAGACCTCGGTAATGTTGGAGTCTGCTGACACTGCCCCAGCATACGTGTGCTCCAATGTCTGGAAAAGATCTGCCACAGCAGGGTATTGCCATAGTAACGACGAAGCCTCACGAAGCAGTTTCGCAAGGCATGACACATCGAACCACATACTGTGGAAACAAGATAAGATATAAAGGAGAAAGTCGTCTAGACACAAAATAATACGTCAAGACTGGGCACAGGTTGCTCAACCAGCCAATCCAGCTCCAACCATTCCAAGATCGGTATCACAAGGCTCGCAAGTGTCCGAGCTGTGGCATTCCCACATATCACAGACTTGCAGTGCTGGTCACCCTGTATATTTTCCTGCTCATAGATTTCTCTGACACTCTGTGTGCACGAATACCCCTGAATACGGCAAAAGCGGCGCCTTCGATCTGCGGGTCGTGGCACGACTTCTCCGTACCTGGGCGGTTTTACTTGGAGAATGTTGCACATTCTTACAAAGTACTGACATGAGTTTGGGCAGGAACTGTATCACCACACTGAGTGTCCTGTGCTGATTGTTACAGGACACTCCCTAATAAATGCCTACTTATGTTAATGGTCCCCTGCCTCAATACAGGAAAGCTGCCCAAGAAGCACATGCAGGTTCCAGCACTACAATGGCGCCAGCCTTCGTGTTCGCAAGAATGAGCATAAGGTTCTCAAGACCTTCTTTCGTGTGCACATTCTGAGACCCGTCAGAACGGATGTCGAAGCCTGGGCTTTCCACAGATGCAAACTGTTCTTCGATGGCACAACAGAATAACGGCTCGCCTATCAAAGAATAACTTTTGCTTAACAAGAACAAGGGCTGCAAGAAGAGCCGGCACCCAAAACTGCATCGAATGCTCTACAGATGGAAGCAATGCCGCCGAAAACTTCCACACATAAGTACCTTCCCCATGGCCGTAATTTCCGACCTGGGATGTGACACTGATTGTGAAATGCAGCCAAAATCATGTCTCAGTGACCATGTTGCTGGCAACAAAAAACAACATATAATGCCAACTGCACTATGTAACCTTGCCAACTTCGAAGGGCAGGGAAATGAACACATATGTGTTCCTTCAGCTGCTCCAAGCATGGGAGATCTGGAAACAGCATCTCTGGAACATGTGCCATTGCACTATCAGCTCTCGTTCCAAAAGAATCTTGAGCAGTGCCAAGAGGCAGATATCGCAGCAAAGAGGCAACACTCCCTGCTGAAGCTCGGATTCTTAAATCTCAGCTAGATAAACCGATGGAACCACTTGCCGGAATGTACTACGTAAACCTGTAGAAGCGTGCGCAAAGAGATATTAGAAGGGTGGCTTCGGGTTTAGGCGTTGGGGCTCAAGTTTTGGGGGTTTCGGAGCTTGGGGCTTTAGGGTTTTTGCGAGTTTTATCAGGGTTCCTTTAAGGGGTCCTGCGAGTGCTCCCCAAAGCCCTGAGATTTCTATGTATGCAATAGAGAGCCTCAATGAGCAGGGCTTCAGGGTGCGCGTTTCATGGGGAATGGGAGGGGCAAGCATTACTAGTTTATTCAGGTTTTTTGAAGGGAGCTATCGTGTGGTCCTGAAAAAGCCCACAGTCACAGTCTCTCGATTCCTCTATGCCCGACATTGGATGAAGGCTACCCCTTAACCCTCAAGCTTCAACCTAAAACTCAAACCTACACCCGAAAACAGGCCCAAATCCCTAAACCGTACACCCGAAATCTCTAGACCCGAAACCCTAAACACCTGAACCCTAAAACCCCAAAACCCGAAACTTCGAAACTCACAGCGGTGTACGACTGAGGGTCCGACGATTTGGATCTGCAAGCTTGGATCACCGGGCAAGATGGCCTTGAGCTCCTGTGCTCATTCGGCCTTTAGGGGGGGGGGAGGGTTTAGGGTTTAGGGTTTAGGGTTCAGGGTGCAGGGTTTAAGTTGTAGGGACGTTCTCAGGGTTTATAGGGTTTAGGGGTTTAGGGTTTAGGGCTCCTACCCGAAACGCTAAGCCCTGAACTTGCAGGAGTGAGGGTCGAGGCTTCAGGACCTGACATCCTCAAGCCCAGAAGAAATCCATGGATCCTCGGTTTAGGGTTTAGGGTCCCCTTAAAGGGATCTATAGAGTTTAGGGTTCCTTAAAGAGGGATCTATAGGGAGGGTTTATGTTCGGGAGCTGCAACTTGGGCAGGCTGCCTTAGACCTCACGCCTAGAGAGGGTTCGACTTGCTGTGTGTATGTCCCCATGTCGACAGAAAGCAGGAACAAGTTGAAAGCCCCTGACCTACTAAACCCCAAACCCCTAAACCCTATACCCCAAGCCCTAAACCCTCAACCCCAAAACCCTAGCCCCTAAACCGTAAACTCCAGTTAGAACTACACACCCCAAGCCCGTAACCCTCAAGACTCGAAACTTCCCGCGGTGCCGAGTTTGGAGAGGGCGGTGGGATTCGGGTGTTTGGGGAATTTTCAAGGATAGGATTTCGGTGTTTAGGGTTTATAGGGGATAAGCTTTCGGGATTCAGGGTTTTAGGCTTGGGATTTCGGGGTTTTAGGGTTTATAGGGGATAGGATTTCGGGATTTAGGGTTTTAGGGTCAGGAGAGAGGGGCTGAGGCTTTATAGGGGTTAGGATTTCGGGGCTAGGAATCGGGATTGGGTCTAACTTAAGCCTTCGCAGGCTACATGTTTCGGGCTACTTCTTATGATTTTCGTATAAAGTATAAAAGTTTAGGGTCTGAGGTGCTTGGGTGACCACCAAGCACCAAAGCCGTAAACTCGTTTAACACCGACGAGACACCTTTTTTGAGCCGTTTTCTTAAACGAGCTTTAACCGCGAACCCGCAACCCAAGGCAGTGTAGTAAATCACCAAGCCGCTCCTGGTTGCAGCCTAAACCCTAAGCCTAAACCCCAAACCGAAACCCTAAACCCTAAACCCTAAACCCTACACT